ATTATTGGGGTCATGAGCTAAAACGTTTAGGTTGGTCCTCTCAACAGTTTGGGCTTTAATCAGGTGCTGATTTCTTCTTTAACATTATTAAGGACATGGCAGGACAGAGCCCATCGCTTTTTTGTTTTGTTTTGTGGTTATTGTTTTTTTCACACTGGTGAGTTTAAGGGAGCTTGTAGAGATTTCCATATGTTCATTAGATTTTCATTAATTGCTTTAGAGGTTTGAATAAAATTTGCTTGACCAGCAGAGCTGGATTTGGTTTAGCTGTTTTTTGTGCTGCAGTTTACAATTTGTAAAGGCAGGCGATCATGTAATCACTAGTGTCTGTTTGACTGTCTGTTAGCAAAATATCTCATAAACCAGCAGACTTTTATTAAGTGAAACTCTCAGACAGCAGCGGATTAGTGTTTAGAGTCAACTCGATTCAGAAAGGCCATCTTAGTAACCATGAAAATGATCATAACTCAGTCAACTTTATGGATACTGAGCTAAAGTTTGGTGTGGTAGTAGCTGAGAGTCATCCCCAACACATAATCTAAGTAAGGTTGGGCGATATTGGCCAAAAAAATTAATCACGATTAATTGTCGCATTTAGCCGATATCGATTAATATGATGATTAATCCATGGGGTCTCTGGGCACCCACATTTATGACCAGTTTAAATCACTCTGTGGGAAAGATTTGCGCTCTGTAAAAATGTCTTCCAAATTGTGTCAAAAGTACAGAATTCAGGCTATACATCAATTTTTCAATTGTGTTGATAAACCAAGTAAAACCAGAGTTATGATTAATAAATTACAGAACTTTGTTTTTAAATGTTTGTCATATTTGAAGAGGAGCACCAAGCRAATCGTCAAGTGCCMAAAAAATAATCGATTAAAGCTTTTCTGACGAGTAATTGCACACAATACGATTTTGCCCAACCCTAACTCTAAGTGCCAGTGGTGGGCAGCACCAAATCTGAATATTAGTAACACTCACCCTAAAGCACTAACTCAAATATTTAGGTCCCCTAATTCTAAAGCACTAATGCACTGAAACAAATAGTAAAAGCTAATTCTAAAGCACTAATACAGTCCAGTTGAGACATGGAACATTCTTTAGAATCAACATGAGACAATATTTACAGTGTGCAGAATATTGTCACTTAGTGCCCTTGGCGGGTCAAATGGGAGTCACTCGCAGGCCACATTTGGCCCGCGGGCCTTGAGTTTGTGATCCTGTAGATAAGTGACACACATATGAACGAAATGTGACAGTGTTCACCCTCAACTGTGAACAATAATGTTGATCAATAACATTTATAGACCTGAGTTAGTGCTTCTAAATTTAGCCTGTAAATTTAGCAAGCGCTAATCCACTAATGAATTTTTAAAAATAGCAACAGCCCTAAAGCACTAATCATGAAATTAGTTCCACTATTAGTGCTTTAGTGTTTTAGGGGGACTGTGCCCACCACTGCTAAGTGCTAACAAGTTGCTTGAGATCCTTGTTTTATTTGTCATGCAATGATACACTTCTAGATTATTTGCAGACTCAGCACACAAAATATGAAACATCAAACAATTGTAGCTAAACTGCATTATTATTACAACGACAGAAGAATGAAATAGTTGTGTTATTTTGGTTTGTTTGCTCTGAGACTGATTAAGGATCCACAATGGATATAAATCTACAGTAGATGACTTTAATAAGGAAGACACAGCTGTCCGCTAAGAGGCTTAGCCGGATGCTGAGTCCTGTCCTGCACAGATGGAGGGGAGCTCTAATAAATATGTAACTCAGTGTCACGTTTATTTACCGCTCTATGAGAAGTAGTGTTTAGAAAATGATACAAGCTCTGAGTTATGATTTCCCTGTGCAGACTTGGAGCAGACAGCGTGGGCACTTTCAGAGCGGCAGTCAGTGGCACCACACCCTTTCACTCCCTCTGCGAACACACAAGTGGGCCAGCAGAACCGGTATTTGGATTAGCTAAGCACTCTAACATGGAAAAGGATATCCTTTGGTGTTTCTGGGAGTGGCCTGGAAATCTGCTCAGCCTCTAGAGGTTTTTTTTTTTTGCTCCATTGTGACATCTGTTGAATGAGGTCAGACGTGGTGTAATATTTTTAATACATTTTTTAAAGAGGAGGTCTCGCAGCTGCAGAGTCCAGTCTGGAAACAGCTGATTCACAGGCTGCAGTTACTGTGTGCCCCACGAGGACACGACAATAGCTGCTACTGTTCCTGAAATTCACCCCAAAGCAAATGAGAGATATTCATCTCCCACAGCGAGGCACATCGTGCCAGTTACTCCAAAAGTTTCGGCGAAGCTGTATTTTGCTTAAATTCAGCAGTAATATTTAGATTTAAGAGGCTGTTGTGCGCGTCATTAATTCCTAATTTAACAGAATAAATAAAAACCTTGAGAGTTTAATCAGACAACTCTTTTCTGAGCTGGAGAATTTATCTCTGCACAGTTTGGTGCTAAAAATCTGTTTTATTTACATCATTCACAGTTTTTTTCTTTATAATTTCACACAAAAAGTTATGAAATGAGTTGTTAGATTATTTCTTTGTTGTAACAATATTTCTTGGCAATAAATCTTATAGCTGCACCTGACTGGCAGAAGCTCAAATCAAAAGCAAAGTAAGCTGTTTGGCAGAGAAGATTTGGCAACTTTTACTTGTGCAAACTCAGTTGCTCATTCCACAAGATGCATGTTCCTTACAAAAGTGGCACCATTTAAAAGGGGAAATTAACAGGATTTCCTATTGTATAGGATTTACTGCCAAGAAGCATTGTTGCAACTATTAAATAATCTACAAATCACAGATTACTTCACTTTTTGTGCTACATTTAGTTTCTTCTTTACATTTCTTTGCTGTCATTTTAGCCATTCACCATTTCAAAATGTTTCAGAATAACCAGTTTACTTAACTGGATGCTAAATAAGATAACAGTGATAAAATGGTTACTTGATGGTAACATTTTATGTCTTATATATATTGAAGAGGTGGCATGGTGGCTCAGTTGGTAGAGCTGTTGCCTCCCAGCAAGAAGGTTGCCAGCTCTAATCCCAGCCAGGGACCCTCTTATATATAGCTAGCATATTCTCTCCATGCATGGGTGGGTTTTTGCTGGTTTACTCCCACAAACCAAAATAAATAAATAAACAGGTTAATTGGTAACTCYAAATTATCATGAATGGTTGTGTCCTCCACCCCCTCACACAGTCACTTCTGGTTATGACCACCAGAAAGAAAAAAGCAAGTAACAGCTGATGAATGAAAATATTGAAGCATATATATATATA